CTTTGCCTTTCTGGGAAAGCACAAATCAATCCGTCAAGCAAATTACGGCCAGTTGCCACCAAACCCACCTAGCAAGCCGGTGCAATCCGGCGCCGTTTTGTACTCCTCAGTGCTCATGAGTGCGAGTGTCTGAGTTTGACCAATCTCTCTCCACTAGAATTCAGAGAGAAGAAGAAGCAGCAATGTTACACGAGTTGCTACTTGCACTGTTGGGCTACACCGGCGATCTGATAATCGACGAGAGAGAGCATTCCAAGTCTCTCGGCGTCGACGCTCCCATTTCCGATGAGCCTACTTTCAAACTCGCTCCCGATATCTCCTTCATTCAACCCAGCGAAAGGTACCCAAAATATTCACACTCAAACCCTCCAAATTTCACATATTCCAATTTCATGCCCAATCGTTTTCTGCGTTCTCTGCAGGGATCTTATAGAGAAGATCACCACATTAGGGTTTTACTATCGGGAGCTTGACCGCTTTTCCGTCAGGTCTCGGAATTTAAGTTGGATAAGGGCTGCAAATGCGAGTTCTTTAGCCTCCGACTTGTCCAAGCCCAAAGCTGAAAAGCCGAGTCCGAGTGTGTATCGTAGGGCAATTGCCAATGGCATTGTTGAGATACTCTCGGTCTATAGGTCTGCTGTTCTCCACATTGAGCAGAAATTGTTGTCCGAAACTGTCCCCATATTGGCAACTGTAACTCAGGGCCTCAATAAGGTCGGGTTTTAAGAATGTGCATGCTGCATTGTTTGGTAATCATTTTTGTTTGTGTTTCTTATGATCAGTTGGTTTTTCCTAGTTTTTTGTGCTCTTGCCGCCTCTGTATGAGCTTGTTCTGGAGATTGAGCGCGATGACATTCGTGGCGGTCAGCTTCTGAACCTTTTGCACAAACGATGCCATTGTGGAGTGCCCGAGTTGCAAACATGCATTCAGAGGTATACACCTCATTTTTCATGCGAATGGGACAGTGTGTATGCGGTATACTTTCTTCGAAAGTAACTGTTAGGAACTGTTCGTTATGTTTGAGTGGCAAAATGAATTATAAGCTGATTAATTTCTAATTTGTTTATTGCTGTGTGTTGGTAGCATAGGCTTC